TAGCATAGATTGTGAGATGGGCTTAATGTTGCAATTACGTAAACTTGAACATCACAGTTATGGTATAAAAGATAAACGTGCTATTTTTGGGAGTTGCTACATTATATTTGAATTGTACAACGTTTAATAGTGTATTTTTCATATAATGAATTTTTTGAGAATGTCACTACTAAGCTTATTACAAGAGATGAAAACTTATTATGGCAATAACAAAAATATATATTGTGAATTTATTCTCATTTCCATTTTCAATTTTTTCTAGTTGATAGTGTAGTTTTGAAGGCCTATCTCTCCCGCTCCTGCGGCCTAGCAGAATTCATGTGCCATGAACATGTATCTTTTATTTGAGACAAACTTGAATAATTACAAGTGGTGTGGGATTTCACAATTATTTAATGAAACTGACTTCGTTGGCATGAATGGAAGCGGGTGTAGATACGTTTTTTTCCCTCATTCGGTTATTGACGGCTGGGCACGGTTCACCGTGCCATCGGGGAGTTGCCAACCACCGTACTAGATGCCTTCCGCATTGCTTTTCCAGAGGTGGACCGCCACGGCGCTGACAAGATGAGAGACCGACTTCAATCGGCACACCTAGAAATCGGTGCAGTGCGGTGCGATTTCGGCGAGCATCGATGGCAGAGGATGAGACAGACAGGCGGCTGTGGGCTTTGCTGCTTGGTGTATAGGGAGGAAGAAGAAAAAGATGGAGAGAAGAAAAAAAGAAGAAAAGAAGAAGCCAAGGAAGACAGAGATGGAGAGAAAGAAGAAAGAACCGACGGCTGGGAGAAAAGTAAAAAACAGAAGATCTGTTCTTCAACACTAACCTTTCATCTTTCATAAAAACGTAAAAAAGAAAAGGAAAAATCAAAACAAGAAAAGACAGCCAGCTTGATACCAAAGAAACCTCATCACTCAACTACAGGTTTGCTACTATCATAGAGCCTCCTCCCTTGTTTCAAGTACATCCGCTACTTTGATGCCAAATAAACCTGAGTCAACTGCAGGCTTACTATCGAAGACTTCTCTTGCTTCAAGTGCATCAGCACAATAACGTTTCGACAAAATTTCAACTTTTTCAGCAAAGGACTTAGTCCCATACTGACCAATGTGTTTGGCCATTTGATTCCATCGCTTACGACATACATCTCCAGACCTGTGCTCAAGAACATTATCCCAATCAACGTCTTCCATGCAACAAGCATCCAAGCTATCAAGAGCATAAAGTAGGCGATAGTCATCAGCATCAGCCCACACACCTTCAGCTACCAAAGGTGACGTTAATTGGTAATACCACTTCTGGCAGCAAGCGGGATTGGTTCTGGTGCCTAAAGTCTCACTAATTGACTCCCACTTGATATTATCTCGCAGCATGCCATGCTTGGATTTCTTTTCTTCCAACGCCCTCATCTGCAGATCCTTATTCACTAAATCAAATAAAGTCTTGTACTCCTCTTGGGACCAATGTCCTTTCTTCATGTTTGGCAGTTTGATTCTACGCCATGCATCCTTGACATGAATTCTATGTTTGCCCAGTTCATTACCCACCTTTCTCCAATTGGGTTTGGCTTCACCTTTATCCTTAGATTCCATGGCGGCACGTCTTACTTCTTCATACTCTTCGGGGGTCCAATTACGTTCCTTGCCTCGTTCAAATAAAATATGAGCTCGATAATATATGCTCTTAGAAGGCCTCCAGGGTAAGGCTGCCCCAATATCCTTCCAACAATTTTTGACTTGGGGATTGGATCTACAATTGAGTACCTTGTCGATGCCTTCATCACCTAAGCGATGTTCCTCTATGTATGTTAAAACAGCTTCTTTTACAAGATTGTCTTCTTCTTCTGAAAACCGCTTACCTTGTACTAAGCCCTTTTCTGCATCTTTTGGGGCATCACATTGGGGAAAGACCTGCACATCATCAGAAAAACTTACTCTTTTTGATGGTTTTCTAGGTGTAGATTTTTCAGAAAGATTTGGAGCCCTAACATTTTTTTGGGCTTTTAGACTTCCTTTATCTGACTTGGCTATTTCCTTTTCGTCTTCATTGCAGTCCCCTACATTAACATGTTTCTTTGACTTGGCCCTCTTCTTCCTTTTATTACCGTCCTCTACATACACAACCTGCACATCATCAGAAAAACTCACTCTTTTTGATGGTTTTCTAGGTGTAGAATTTTCAGAAAGATTGGGAGCCCTAACATTTTTTGGCGTTTTTAGACTTCCTTTATCTGACTTGGCTATTTTCTTTTCATCTTCGTTGCAGTCCCCTACATTAACATGTTTCTTTGACTTGGCCCTCTTCTTCCTTTTATTACTGTCTTCTACATACACAACCTCTATGTTACCGTTCCTTGTCTCATCTCCAGTTGTCTGTACGTTACTGTCATTCTCTAAGAAATTATTCCCTTCAATTCTACTGCTTTCTGTGCCCAGTTTCTCAACCACAGTTTCCCGCATTTGACTTCCTGACTTCTTTTTATGGTTTCTTTTCTCTTTCTTCATGATTCCACCCTTCTCCATAATTTTCCCATCTGAGTGCTCACTTTCTGCTCCAGCCTCCTTTCCATCACTTATGATCTTCTGTACCCATTCACCATCTACCTTTTCTCTCTCCTCTTTCTTCTTCATTTTCTTTTTATCCCCTCCTCCATTGTTGTCAACGTCACTGTCTTCAGAGCATTGAAATCTCTTAGCTGCCTCACCCATTTTGTCATCCTCAAAGAATTTCTTTCTCTTCTTTTCATTATCTGCAAAGTTAACTTCTTCTGTGATTTTCCCATTGGATTTCTCGCAATCATCTTCGGGCTCCTGATCATTAGTCAGGTTTGATTTTAGTTCACTATCAGCCTCCTCCATTCCCCTCTTCCTTTTCTTTTTCTTGTTGGCCCCTTCTCCACTTTTCTCATTAATTCCACCATTCTTGTCAAACTTCTGCACCTGAACTAGCATAGGCATTTTTTCCTCAGAGACTTCAATCAAAGAAGAATTTCTATCAGGTTCATCCTTCTTCCTTTTCTGCTTGAGCTTTTTCTTCTCTCTCCTTGCTTCAAACTCCAAATCTTTTGTTTTCTCCCTTCTCATATGGGTTTCTTAATTTCTTTTGACCTTAAACAGTAAAAAAAAGAAAAAAAAGAAAATATCAGGGACCAAAAGTAGTTTTACTAAAAAAAAGAGTAAACATAAGTAGGTGAGTAACAAGAGAAAAAGGGTCACAGTATTTCTGGAAACACTATGCAATGTCATTATAGCAGGTGCATATGAAGGCTGCATTTTAGAAAGTGTACAACAGGGACAGAATAACATCCAGATCCACACACAAATGTAAATGCCATACAATCTACAATTAGAAACCATTACAGGAATGCGTAGTCCACACAAAGCCCCAACAAACAGTGGTGGGAAGTGGCACATAAATTCAGTAAATAAAAGCAAAATTATGTGGGATCAAATGACAATCTCAGTTAGGTTAAATGAATATCTACATGTTTTCATACTGTCTATCAATAAGAACGGAGTTTTTACAAAATTCGCCTATTATCTGATTGCTGCAAAACTCAGAACGACTTTGCCTTATAAAACACTGGTAATAATTCATGTCTCCAAAGGCAAGGCGTTAGTTTTGTGACCAAGAGGCATAAGCCTTTCGGATGTGAATGATTACAATAAGAACACAAATATAAACAGATCAACAATGGGAGAAAAGGATAAAGAGAGAACTGAGAAAATCATATTTGACAGTTGGCATTCATTTAGCATTAGCAATTGTTTGGAATTAGCCTCATTCTAGCTACATTCTAAGTACTCGACACTTTGGAGGCCGGGAGAAAAAGATTGAGAATAGAAGGTGGGAACAGATAACTAATGGGAGAAAAAAGAATAGACTAGAGACAACATAGAGAGATAGAGATAGGTAGTTACAAATCAATACCGTGTGTTTATGAAGTGACTAGAAGTTTTAAATACAAGAGACAAAAATGGTTGACTCTATTAAGTAACTTCAATTGAAAAACAAGAGACAAGACAGTTTGTTTTCTCAAAATCTTTTCAAGCAAAAAAACAAAGGCTTGCAAGAGTGGCCAGCAGTCTTCTTCTTCGGATCACCTCTGCAGGGCCTCGCCTGAAAAGCAAAGAAATGCTGCCCTTATTCGGGAAGAGGAACATGAATGCAGGGAAACAAAAAAACAGATATGCATTTTCCAAAATAATTAATAACAATAATTAATCTTTTTCATACAAAACTCAGTAAACTGACGAACTTCCATTGCTGTGTTTAGACAAGAGAGGCTAATCCCCCAAGCATTTGAATTAACAAAAAGAAAAAAGAAACAAGTTTTTAATACCAACGAGAAAATATACGATGACAAAAACAGTAAAAAAATATATATAAAAAATCACATCTTTCAACTCCCAAGTCAACAACTTCCTACAGCCTAGACCAATTTTCCCCCAAATAATGAAAACAGAGAAACCTTGATAATCTCAATTCTGAAAAACCTAACATGCACATAGCCAAATCATCCAACAGAGCAATAGAGTTAGAAAATAACCTAAAATACAGAGAGAAAATCAGAATAGATCAACTAACCTCCAAAAAAATATGAAACCCTAGTTCCACCAACGGTCCTCCTTCCTGGAGGGATCTCGAGTTTCCACTGGCACGCTGAGAGTGAGAGAGAAACAAATCAAGCTGAGATTAAATTGTCTAAAGCCCGTTTCTTTGTCAAACCAGAAGATGGGCCCAACTATTTAAGGCCCAATATGCAGAGAGATATTATCATGTCGCATGCTAGTATTGGGCCTAAAAGCGAAAGAGGCCTCAAAGGGTTCTTCTGGAAGTAGAAGACAGTTCTGGAACGTCGTCGTCGGTTCTCTCTCCTTTCCCATAACAATAAAACCCAAAACGGGCAAAAACCCTAACAAAACTGTGAGCCTCTCTTATCCACACGCACACTTACATTTCTACTCTCTAACAAAGCCACGACCTTGAAGCTCTGAAAATGGCGTCGGCCAACGCTCTTACTTCCGCTGCCATTCTCTGCTCGCCCAGTCAGGTACTGGCTTCTTGGATTGTCTGCTATCACGGAAGTGAATGAATTTGTGGGTATTGGGTTTCGTTTGGTCTCTCATTTCCTCTAAACCAAACATTGACCTCTGTGGCTTGAATTTCTTCGTAGCTTTGCTTCCACCTACCTGCCCTTAATTATCTGGGCATTGTGCTTGTGTTTTTGGGTCGCATATTGACATTATTTGAGGTTTAATTGCTTTAAGCTTTTTGGGTTTTGTTTGGCTCAATCTTCTTAGTTCCATATTTGTATGAATTAATGGTGTTAGCGGAGCTTGTGGAGGACGGTGAATGAATTTGTGTGTTTTGAGTTTCATCTGGTCTCTCATTTCTTGTGAACCAAGCATATGTTTGAGCCCTTTAGCTTGAATTACTTGTTAGCTGTGGTTGGTAATTGGTTCTTGTTGGGACTGAAGAAATATGCAGGTTTAATAATCTACGATGTTTATGTGTAGTTTGGTAATATTAACAGCATCTGAGGTTTATTTGCCTTGATCTTTTTGGGTTTTCTTTGTTTTGGTCAATATTAAAAATTCATTCTTTGGTGTGAATTAATGGCGTTGCCAGAGTTTGAGAAGGAGGGTGAATCAGCAGCAAAATAATAGGGTGAATTACAAGCAATCAAGGGGCCGATTTGTTGTGAAGGCCGCTGCAAAAGATATAGCTTTTGACCAGAACTCAAGGCGTGCGCTACAGGCCGGAATTGATAAGCTTGCTGATGCAGTTGGCCTTACTCTTGGCCCTAGGGGTATCTTCTTTCTTTCCCTTGTTGCATTGGTGCTATCTTGGATATTTCATTGTTGTGCGTTTGTGACAAAAAGAGTGTCTTCTTAACCTGTTTCAAACATTTTCTAGTATTAGAGGTTTCTTTTCATGTTATGCTCTTTGAACGTGAGCAATTCTTAATTTTGATGTGTCTGTAGGGAGGAATGTTGTCTTGGACGAATATGGAAGTCCCAAAGTGGTGAATGACGGAGTAACAATTGCTAGAGCTATTGAGCTTCCCGATGCTATGGAAAATGCTGGTGCAGCTCTCATTAGGGAGGTTGGACCTTTATGTTTATAGTATTTTTCAAAGTAGTACCATCCCAAGTTAGGCAGTTCTAATTTTTTGGGTTATTTTACCATGCTCTCTTGTTTCAATTGTGGGATTTAGGTTGCTAGCAAAACGAATGACTCAGCTGGTGATGGAACAACAACAGCATCAATTCTTGCTCGGGAGATAATCAAGCTCGGACTGTTGAGTGTCACCTCTGGTGCAAATCCTGTTTCAATAAAGAAGGGGATTGATAAAACTGTACATGGTCTGATAGAGGAGCTAGAGAATAAGTCTAGGCCTGTTAAGGGTCGTGATGATGTTAAAGGTACTGTGCTGTAACGAGTGTTAGGGTATTTCATCAAGTTTAATTATTTACTGAAACCCCACGTCCTTTGTTGATCATTGTTTTGCTTACAGCTGTTGCTACTATTTCTGCTGGGAACGATGAGTATATTGGGACAATGATTGCTGATGCTATTGACAAGGTGGGACCTGACGGTGTCCTATCCATTGAGTCATCATCCTCATTTGAGACAACCGTTGAAGTGGAAGAAGGAATGGAGGTATGTTTCTTTATGGTCTTAGTTGCATTTCATTATTTTCCTTTCTGTATATTATATGATTATCGTCTCTTGATGATTTTTGTCATTGGGTTGCAGATTGACAGAGGATATATCTCCCCTCAATTCGTTACAAACCCTGAGAAATTGATTGTTGAATTTGAGAATGCAAGAGTTTTGATTACTGACCAGAAAATTACAGCTATCAAGGACATAATTCCCCTTTTGGAGAAGACCACTCAGTTGAGAGCCCCTCTGCTTATAATTGCTGAGGATGTCTCTGGGGAGGCTTTGGCGACTCTTGTTGTGAACAAGTTGAGGGGCATAATTAATGTTGCTGCCATCAAAGCTCCTGGTTTTGGTGAAAGGAGAAAGGCTCTCCTCCAAGATATTGCCATTTTAACAGGTAAATATTTGGCTTAGTATATCAGATTATATCTCAGCAACACAAGTGAAGTTTGATATCAATAGTGCAAGGAGTTTTCTTGTATCTGTTTCTTTAGATTGGATATTTAATGGAGCAAAATGCTTGGTTACTTTGTTACAGTATATTCTGGATATTTTTTTTAATTGTGTCAACAGATACACTTAATTTGCTTGGATATATTACTCATTCAGCTGGTTCTGTATGTATTCAGGAGCTGAGTTTCAAGCCAGTGATCTGGGTCTACTGGTGGAGAACACCTCAGTTGAGCAGCTTGGTTTGGCCCGAAAGGTGACAATCTCAAAGGACTCCACTACCATAATTGCTGATGCAGCATCAAAAGATGAGTTGCAAGCTAGGATTGCACAGCTGAAGAAGGAATTATCTGAGACAGATTCCGTTTATGACTCAGAAAAATTGGCTGAGCGGATTGCTAAATTATCAGGCGGAGTTGCTGTTATAAAGGTGGGAGCTGCTACAGAGACCGAACTTGAGGACCGTAAGCTTCGTATTGAGGATGCCAAGAATGCCACTTTTGCTGCCATAGAGGAAGGTATTGTGCCTGGTGGTGGTGCCGCCTTGGTGCATCTGTCAACATATGTTCCTGCACTCAAGCAAAAACTTGTAGATGCAGATGAGCAGCTGGGTGCTGACATTGTGCAGAAGGTAACAATCATGCCTTATTTCTTTCGACCTGGTTATTTGGAATTGCTACTACTGTTCTTGAAGGAAGAAGTTCCATATTCTATGCTAATTCTCTCAACACCTGTCCTATTCATTCTGAAAAATCAAATCTATTTACATGCAGGCACTGGTATCACCAGCAGCATTAATTGCTCAAAATGCTGGAATTGAAGGTGAAGTGGTTGTGGAGAAAATAAAGGATAGTGAATGGGAGATTGGTTACAACGCAATGACAGACAAGTACGAGAACTTGGTGGAAGCCGGTGTTATTGACCCAGCAAAGGTAACAAGATGTGCTTTACAGAATGCAGCTTCGGTTGCCGGAATGGTGTTGACCACTCAAGCCATTGTGGTGGAAAAGCCTAAGCCCAAGTCACCTGCGGCTGCTGCTGCACAAGGTCTTACTGTGTAACATGTAGAATTTCTAGATTGACAGAATTTTGGTAGAGTGGTTGATGGGGTGCGTTCAGGTCGAAGGCGTTTGTTAAAACTTCTGTTAAATGTGCCTTGTGTCTTTTGTACGGATTGACAAACATTGATTTTTTCCTTTTCTTCTACATAAAAGTAATCTGGAGGCATGTAATCTCATGGGGGTTTTGAATATTTCGCTTTTTGGTCTTTTCCTGGAGACCAAACCTAGTAGTAGCACACGATGCATTACTGAGCAATCGATCTGGGGCATGCATGAAGATGTTGTCTCAGAGGGGTTTTTACCGAGGGTTCATTTGAGACTTACTCTAGGCCAATAATCACTTATATGGAGAATTATTTTTCTATATAATCACTTTAAGTGATTTTAAGTGGTGGTATGGAGAAGCTCACACCTCCTTAAGTGATTTTGGGATTCTAGATCTCCCAGCATCACTCTCAAACGAGCCCTAACCTCTTGTTTGAATGAGGAAAAGTAACTCGGAATTTAGCTAAAAGTCGGGAATTTAAAATGAGAAATTGACAATTTTCTTATTTTGCAGCTTAAGATTAGGTTTTAGCCACACAAAAAACTTTCACTTTTGGAAAAAGCCAAAACTTTTATAGAAAAAAACAAAAAAATCGCTCAACTTTCAAACCAAAGACATGCAAATGTAAGGGATTGTTTAGGAAATCCAAAAATAAATAAGGGCATTTTTGTCCATTTTGGCTTCTTTTAAAAATATTTTTCTCCTTTGGCCTTTTCCAAAATGTCCCGACAACTGAAGTGAAGTACGGAAAAAATCATAGAAATTGGAGCATCAAATTCTCGAATTTAATTTCCACCAAAATGTGTCATTTAACAATTTTCGTAGTGTCATTTACAAAATTTGACATACATAAATCTAAACACTGAAATATTCAATTGCCAGAAATTGAAATAATGGAAATCTAAATTCCGTCATTTTAGAATTCTATATAATTTTCAATTTCTTCATCCAAATGGAAGGTGATAGTAAGTTTAGCATTGACGTTGATTTTGTGGTATACATGACACTTAAAAGTATTTCTTAAGATCTTATTTTTAATAGTTAATGTTTTATTAAAGAAAATATTTTATAATTTTTGTGCACACATGGCACTTATGTGGTACACATTTTAAGCAAAACAATGGGTTTCATTCGTATAATGTTAGAGTTCTTACAGCAATTTTGACAGACTTAACAAGGGGGCCGAAGTAATCCGAAGCAATTAAGTCGTATGACAGATATTTTGACGGACTAATGGTAGAGGACAAAGTTGAACGCAAAATATGGGTTCAGAAACAATGTGAAATAGACCATATCCTAATGGTATTAAAACAGTTAAGTCTTGTTAAAATTACAAAAAAACTAATTAGTTCTTCATCTCATTTAAGCTTTTTTATTTTTAAAACTTGGGCCAATGCAATAGAAATCTATCTGTAGCCCAATCCAGTGAAAAACTGGGGTTCAGTGCTTGTGTGCTTATTACACAAGTAGTGGGCGGCGTATAGCCGGGCGGCGTAACTTCTAAAATTTCTACTTATGGAGTATAGCCGTTTAAAATTTCTATTTAAAGCGTACCTTTAAAATTTATATTTAAAGCGTATGGCCGTCCGGCTATATTATAAAATTTATATGAGATATTTAGTCAAATACCTATTCTTAACACTAAAATTATAAATAAACCCTACACTATTTAATTTCTATAAAAAAAACCCAAAAAATGACAGCATGCCTTATTAAATTATAATTATAATTATTAAATTACTTTGATGCCCCATTGAGTGTTTTGAGTTTTTTTATGAGGTTTTTGAGTTGGGTTTGTTTTAAGAAATCAATGGTAGTTTTGTAATTTAAAAGAAGTTAAAAGTCTTTTTGTTATGTTGTAAATGGGCTTTGGGTGTATTTCTAAGATCCATTTCATATAGGTTTTTTTATAATTTGGGTTCCTATATTGGGTATTATAGTGATTTATATATATGGCGTATAGCCGCCTGGCTATACTTCTAAATTTTCTATTTAAAAACTAGCAGAACGGCTGTACAGTTAAATTATTCTATTTTTAGAGTATAGCCGCACGGCAATACTTTTAAAATTTTCTATTTATAGTGTATAGCCGCTCGGCTATACCGTTAAAATATCTATTTATGGACGACAGTGGAAATGACGGTGCCACTTGCATTTGGCTACTGGCTGCCACGTGGCCCAGCGTCGGTGGACCGTCCAATAAAAATTCTGGGTTTTGTTGTTGAGGCTTTTTTAATTATTTCCCTTTCGGATTCTAGAACAAACACATGGGAGACGACCAATAAAGGCAAAAATCCGCTTAGCCACCAATAAAGGTAAATATAAACCCGGGCCCGTGAAAGATAATATATATTTCTCTTGGTAGAAAATTGTGATTTTATCATATAAGAGGAGGTTCATATTTAATTCCTATATCAAAGGCAAACATCATACAAGATAATACTTAGTCGCACCTCCTTTGTGATTAACAAATTTTCGTCATACACATGTCATAATTAGAACCATTTATTTCTTATTTCACAATTCTAAAAATCATCTTTACATAAATAAATAAAAATATTCAATCAAATTGGATATTGTTTAGTAATTCATATGTATCAAACAAATAAATGATTTTGATACCATAAGATCCTCATGATTGATCTTTTACATAGATGATATTAAATGCTAATTTAGAAAATAAACGCTTTCAATATTCGTTAATCATAACAGAATGAATAAAGAGGTGCACCTAAGTATTGTCGTTTACTGTAATAAATGTTGTTTTCTTTTTAATCAGAAAAAAAAAATTGTAAATGTTGTTTTGTTAAACAATTTGTCAATTTTTATTAAGAAATTCAAATAAAAATTTGAAAACAAAAAGGGAGTTGCATGGACTACCAGGACTAGTAAACAAAGTTGTCACTAAATTCTTAAAGATAATCGTCTTCGGCTTTTATAAACAAGGAGCGTGTGGGACTAAGGGCTCGTTTGGGAGTGCTTCTTCCCGAAACGCTTATGCCAGTAGCGCTTATGCTAAAAGCGCTTATGATATAAGCGCTTCTGTAAAGAAACAATTTGTTGTTTGGATGTCACATTTAAAAGTGCTTTTACACTACATAAAAGTGCTTTTGATATTTTGTTGAGTGTTTGTCTAACACAGTAAAAGCGTTTTTAAAAGTACTTTAAAAAAGTTTAAAGAATCCCAAAATACTATAATAAACATAGGAAATAAAAATTATATAGAGATGGATCCCTGCAAAAGACCAAATCCTTGGTAGTTAATTAAGGAGATAACATAGAGATGGATCTATGAAATCAGGCAACAATGGGGTCACAGGGCTGGGATTTGCAGCATTGTTAAAATCAGTAGACCTACATTGATTATCATAATGCTACATTGAAAAAACAACTAACCTTAGAATCACATATCAGATAAATAATTGAATGTTTGAACATGCAATTTGAGAATGCTTTGTTCAATTCCACTAAACTCGTCAAACCAATTCCTTTGTTTTATCTTCTTGGTTTGAGAATATAATGACAACTAGTATAGCAAATCTCCTTCTTCCTAAAGAATTGGTTTGAGAACACATACCCCACTTACAAAGCATTTCTTAGGCTCTAGTTTCCAAAAATACTTCCATATACAGTTTTCAGAAAACAGTACAAAACAATGGCACTACAATTTCTTAACCCAAAACTGAAAAATTATTTTTAAAACAATACGATTCCAGCTTTCCAGCTTGTTATGAACACCCTTTTGGCTGCATTGATTCCAGATAGTATGCAAACGATCAAATCAATACAGATTGACCCAAATTAACATATGAAACTGGTCATTCAATCAAAATTTTACTCATGAAACAAAACAAAAAGAAATTGACATACAAATTTCAAAAAAGAAAAAAAAATTCAAAAACATGAAAAGGACTTCAAGGCAGAGAAGATCCAGTTTCATCCAAATCATAAAAAATCATAGAAGAACATATCCAATTAGAGAACTCAGATAAGGAAATCCAAAAACAAAGAATACCCAAATGGTTTTTAATGATTAGAATACGATCTGCAGGACAAGCAAGGATGGCCATGACCTTCAATTTATAGTCAGATCTTCTACCCGGAAAGAAACCATGAGGCCAAGAGAGAGAGAGAAATAACATGATGATCTGATGCGAAGCAAGCGATAGAAAATATGAGGGTATTTTGGCGTTTTAGAAAATTAAATAGGGATATTTTCGGTGTTTTGAAATTTTCACTAAAGGGAGCCAAGTGCTTCCCGTGTATTCACTTGGCAGCACTTCTATGAAGAAGCATTTCTCAAGTACTTCTTAAAAAACCACTTCAAGTGCTTTTGAATCCCACCCAAAGCGCTTTTACATTTTCTGCCAAACATCTTTTTTAGAAGATGGAAGTGCTTTTACCCATTTAGAAGCGCTTTTAGCAATTTCAAAAGCACTCCCAAACGAGCCCTAACTACCGAGGCCCGAGGTAGAAAAAGCACTTATCAAATTGAATAGGGACAGGGATTATGCGACTTCCTCCAAGCACGCAATTTATGGTCTACCTAACCTAACGAGTAACTATTGCAATTGATAAGTGCTTTTCTTTTTTGGATTCTGAACCAGAATCAGCTTTTTTCAAAATTTATGAATATCGCCCCACAAATCGCTTTCTGCTTTTGCTAAAATAAAAATTGGTTTTGGGCCTTAAATTGTGATTTCATCTTCTTTTTTGGCTTTTGTGTAGAATGTGGTACCTACCGACCTTCGAACCCAAGACCACTAGGAGTTAGTGCAAGCGCACTTAACCACAAGGGCAGGTTGAAGTTTCTTCCATACGACAATCTGGTAATTGGTATGTCAAGTCTCTTCTTTCTTTTCTTTTTGGTAATAAAGTTGATCATGCTTGCAAATGAAACTTTTGCGTTGCTTTTGTTTTTGTTTTGCCCATTCAACGCCTTCCACTTTTGAAT